GACCTGATCCGGGCCCCGCGCCCGGGAACCGTCCGCCTCGGAGCTGTTGACGCCGCGGGCTACGGCCCGACACTGCTGGCCCGGTCTCGGCGTCGTCCCGGCCTTGCCCCTGGGGCTCCCGTCGCTTTCCCTTGAGAAAGTGTTGGCGTCCCCTCCGGCGTGGGTCCGCGGTGCGACCGGGAAGCCAAGGCGGGATTGACAGGAGCTTTCCTTCCACTGAGGGACGTGCGTTTCCGGGGTCACGGGTCCGCACACAAACCTGTGGCGCTCTCCAGCCGGGCAGAGAGGCCCAACAGAGAGAGTTGAAAGTCTTGGGTTGCAAAATTGCTGGTTCGATTGGGGATGGGGGGGTGTTGTGTTGTGTGGTGTTTGATGTCTAAAATTCAAAACAAGTGTGTTTTCTTGCGCCTCTAGAGAGCTCCTTTCCCGTTGGTGGGACCCTGAACATCGGCGCTTCGCCAGAGGGAGAGTTTTCTTTTGTTTTTAAGATTGCTTTGTACCAGTTGAAGGGAGGTTGGAGCTGATATTTTCGTGAGTAGGAGGAAAGGAAGGGAATGAGGATCAGGGCTTGCAGTCGCTCCTAAATCACAGTTTTAACTGGTTTGGTTTGTATATTTTGAAAGCATGCTTAGTTCCTCGATTTGCAAAGTTACTGTACTGTGTTTGCTAATTTGGCTTTTTGTTTCTTTTTCAAGAACATAGCTCTAAATGTAGCTCGCTATTAAGGCATCGTTGCCTGTAGGTAGAGAAGCTGTCCAACAGACAAGGGAGGTGGATACTAGTTTGTCCCGATTTGCTTGTGACCTTTTGGGTGGTTTAGGGGTGAATTGTGTGTGCTGTTGTGTGTTTGTCTTTGGGGAGTCTTGGCGTTTGGGGGACCTTGCTTCTGAAACTGCCTGGGTTCCTGGGAGGTGTGTGGAGAAAGAACAGGAAGTGCAGCATGGGCAGAGGGTGTCCTGAGGCTGGGTGCTTGAATCAGGCAAAGTGAATACCTTTCCCCTGGGGGAGTTTGGGTTTGGATAGGAAAGGCCTCTCCAGGGGCTTTTCATCCACTATTTGTTTCATCCTGGGCAAATCTGTGGGTGAGAGTACCATCATCGCCCATTTTACAGATGAGGAAGCTGAGGTTGGGGGAGATGAACAACTTGCCACACTCACAAAGCCAGTAAGTAGCTCTGAAGTCTCTGCTGTCAGCCAGCAGAACTGATCTGAGAAGAGGGTGTTCATGGGCAGATCTTGCCACTAAGCCTGGAGAACCAGGCCTTTGTCCTGTAGGCTGTCTTTAGTAGTTCATAGATATTTTATCTACAGCTTGGCTGCTCCTTAAGTGTCTCTCTGTTGAGGAAGGCAGAGTCCCTTTTAAGTGGGATTCTGAATGAGTGCTTCTGTTTTGTAATTAAAATGTAACAAACTGGCTACTTTCTCCTGGGCTCTGGAAGGCTACCAAGAGTGGAAGCACCATCTTGAGACCAGGTGTCTGCCTGGGACAGTGCGGGTAAGCACCTGTAGCTTTGCCCTGGTGGCAGAAAGGATCTTATTGGTGCCTGGTCTGGTCCATTGGCATCTCTCATTATTAACCTTTTATACCTGGGACAACCACAACTAGGCACTAGGACAGGGTCTTTTATGGGCAGCTTTGTTTGATCTTCAGAGCAGAAGAGGTGAGGTCCTGGCACAGGGTCGGCAGGCAGGCAGGCTGCGCTTGGATTGCCCTGCTGGCCTCTCCCCCGGCCCAGCCCCTCTGGAGCCCTCTGAGTATTGTGTGGCCCTACCAGGGTCTGTGGTTCCTCAGTGTTCCAGAGCTGGCCTGGGCTTCAGAAACCTGTTCTGATGCCTGGCTAGGGACCTTACGTAAACAGTGCTTACCAGGTTGCTTGCCTTTGGTCACTAAACTCCTGTGTTAGTTAATTCAGCAGAAGTGTCCTGCCAGGCCAGCCTGTGCTGTCTGCTTTGCCATGGCCAGGGATGAGGGGCCTGCCCTATGGGGGCCTTGTTGGTGGGGGAAGCCAGTGGGTATGGGGCAGTACTTTGTAGGCTAACATGTGCTGTGCCCTCAAACCTGGAGGTGGCGGGAGGAGGGCATTTCTACTGGTAGGGGATAGCATTGGGTCCTGCCATTTAGAAGAACCAGTTGAAGTGAAGGATTTGAGAAACTTAGAAATGAATTTTCAGACATCGGGGCTACCACTCCATCCTCCCAGCCAGCCATCACTGTCACTGCCCACTTCTCTGACAGAGCTGGCTGGTATGTTCCTCTGCGCCACCCCCCCACACACACCCCCACACACCAGCTCCCACATTCCTCATGCAAGCCCACCCTTTCCACTCTTCTCTGGCCCACCAGACCCTTCTGTTCCTGAACCATGCTGCCTGGAACAGTCTCCTGCCAGATTGCTGCAGGCTGTGCTTGGGTAGCCACCTGGACACTATTTCAAAGCAGGTGCCACTCATCTCCATAGTCCTATCCTACTTTGCATCTCCTGGCACCTAGCACTTCCCAGCACAGGACCTCCTCACCTATGAGCTCCCAGGGCAGCATCCTGGCAGGCTCACTATGAGCACCTCAATGGTTTGGTCAAACATCCCCTGGGGAAGAAGTGGGCAGGCCAGAGCTCTGACGTTGTGTGCTGTAGTGAGCAGTTATATTGGGTCCAAGCTTCGTGTTGATCTATTTTGGACTTAATCTTGAGGTCGGATAAGGTTGAAAGGTGCATTCTGGGTCAGAGTGCTGGAGTTAGGGACCACAGCCCAAATAGGTACATCTGTCACCTCTCATCCTTGACCGGAGGGTTTTGATTTCTGACCCTCACTTTTCTTGTGATGATATAAGCATACCTGTTTTTTGAAAATGTATCATATCTGCCTTGGCTGGTTTTGCTCAATGGTTAGATCGTAGGCCCATGAACTAAAGGGTCCCGGGTTCGATTGAGGCCAAGGAAGGGCACGTACGTTGGTTGCAGGCTCGATCCCCAGTCCTGGTTAGGGTGCATGCGGAAGGCAGCCAATCAATGTGTCTCTCTCACATCTCTCTCCCCCTTCCACTCTCTCTGAAAAGCAATGGAAAAAATATCCTCGGGTGAGGATTTAAAAAAAAAATGTACAGTTGGTCTGGCGATTTATAGTAACTCACCCAGTGTCTGAGACCTGGGCTCTTGGGTGGTGTTGGAGGCAGCAGTGCTTTTCTGCAGTGGCAATCCCAACCCTCCTTCTTCTATACTTCTTGGGAAAACAGTTGCCAGGAGCTGCCCAAAATCCAGAGCACTGGAGTCCACCCAGAGTTCCTGACTCCATGGTGACCTCTGAGGCTTGGGAATGTGCATTTGATGTCTGCTTTTGAACTGTTGGCCTGACCTAACACCTTCTCCACAAACAGTGTGAACCTGAGGGGACAGGGCAGGGCAGCCAGGTGGTGTGGATGCTGGGGTGAAGGGCATAATTTGGGTTGCTGGGGCAGTTGTGGGTCAGCTGGAGCTGAGGTGAAGTGGGGAGGTTGAAGTACTAGTTACGGGGCGGGGGGTGCTGCAGTAGGAGGGAAAAGTAGCCCTGACACCCAGCGACTGGAGTCAGAAGACCACCTGGGTTTGCATTGAGGCTGTGGCCTTAGTGCACAGATTACTGTGGACCTCCCTTCCTATCTCTGGAACAGGCCTGTGTGGAGGCTAGGGCAGTAGGCAAGACTGGACTGGAAAGCTCGGCTGCTGTCAAGTGTTGTCCTTGCTGGAAATATTTTTTTCCATACAGGATTGAGAGCACTGTTGTAATTGTGGAGGGCACCCCACATTGTATTCAGGAACTTGAGGTGCTAGATCTTTTCCCTGCAGAGGTAGAGAGGAGACCTGTCCCCTGGCTTCAGTATAAACCTAAAGGCTTGAGGAAGCTGCTGATCACCATTTGTCGTGTTAAAGCCTTGTTTATGGTAAATACATGTACTTAATTCAGGGTATCTTCAGTGTTTCCATGGACTTTGAAGACCAACAAGTACACTTAGGGTCAAATTCTCCAGCAGGTTTTGTGACCATGTCACCTCTGCATCTGCTTTCTCATAGGCAACTAGAAGTGGGGTTACGATTCAGTGCCCTGCAGTCTGGTCTGGTGTGCCAGGCATGTGGAGTTGCTGCTTTACCTGAGGGCTCCAGGCCACTAATTTGAACAGCTAAAAGCACTAAGCCTTGAAAGCCTGTGGTCCAGGCCTACTTAAGCCTTCCTGCTCCTGCCTGGTGCTCCCAAAGAGTTCCTGGGCTCTGCCGGCCTGCTCCCCTTTGCTTGACTTTCCCAAAGTAAATGGGAAACAGACCTTTGATCCATTAGTTGTGGGGTGCCAGGATGGGGCTGCAGGATGAGAAAGTGGAGGGAGCAGAAGAAAGAGCCCGGGACACTGGTGACATGTGGGTCTCTTGGATATGGGGCCAGGTAAGCTGTCTCTGGGACTTGTCCACAATGCAGTTGGGCTGCCCTCCACCCTGGGGCCCTTTTCCACTTGGTGAGCTGGGGGCCTGACAACGCCTCTGCCTCCATCCACCAGCAGAAGGAAGCGATTCATCCCTGTCCTTCCCTGTGCTCTGGGTATCCCCACCTGGTCCTGCCTTTCCTGTGTGGTCTGATAGTAGAACTGGACCCCTGTCACTCCAGCCCACTGCTGGGTATGATTAAAGCAGGAGGGGTGCAGGTACCAGGTGTCTGCTGGGAGTACACGGCATCCCTCCCTGCATAGCACCTTACAGCACTGTGACCCAGGCCTGTTACTTCGCTTCTCTGAACCTCTGTATCACCATGAAATGGAGTCTGAGGGGTGTGCTGTGGACCCCTGGGGCTAGGCAGTTTGGCAAGGAAGGCACCCACGTGGAGGTATCCAGGAGGCCCAGGCCTCTTCCGTGGTGACTTGCTTGTGGGAGAAGGCCGGATTCACCCCTGAGGGCCTAATGCCTGTCCAAACGCTGGGTGGGGCAGCTTGATAAGAGCATGCGAGATCTCTATGGGCCATGTGAGAACCTTCACTTACCCACTTCTTGGAAACAAGTCTGCTCACTGGGCAGGTGCGAGAGGGAAGGGGCAGAAGGAACCAGGTTTTCCTCCTGATTGCATCTTTGCTCTCTCTTTCAGGACTTTGAATATGTCGGGGATTGCTCTCAGCAGACTCGCCCAGGAGAGGAAAGCTTGGAGAAAAGACCACCCATTTGTAAGAAAAGCTTTATTTCTTCCTGTAGCACAGTGGATCATTTCCCCGACTACACTGCCCAGTCCCTATAGACGGGGCCCTATTGTGAGCCCTGTGCCTCTGGGCGGTGGGAGGCACACGGCTCCTATGAGCAGCTAACATGAGCTGCCACAGCGCTGATGTGCTTGTGTGTGGTTTTCTCTCAGGGTTTTGTGGCTGTCCCGACAAAAAACCCCGATGGCACAATGAACCTCATGAACTGGGAGTGCGCCATTCCAGGGAAGAAAGGGGTAAGAAGGGCCCATACTCGTGTATGGGGAGGACTGCTAGGGACACTTCGGCCCTTCAGAAGGTTCAGGTGTGGTGTGGTGATCACACAGGCCAGGGGACATGAAATGGTGGGACAAGGTTAGGGTGACGTAACACCACTCCACTCCAAGCAGTTTTAATTCTGAAAGGAGCTGAGCTATGGCAGGGGTAGTAGGCCCAGACCCTGATGCATCTTTGGGAGCAAAGAGGATCTTGAAGACAGGATGGAGAAGGGGCCATAGGTGCCACCAAAGCCTTTGAGTTTGTCCTTGCCTGGATGTGCTGAAACTGGAGCATTCTGGAATGGTCGCAAATCCCTGACCACCTATGATGGTTGCATGTGGCCCCACATGTCCTTCACACACAGCCACAGTCCTCCCAAGGTCCTCCTTGGTTCCCCTAAGTGTGCCCAGGCCAGTTAAAACCAGTGCGTTTGAGGCATTAGGGAGTGAGGGTCCCCCAACAGCCCAGCGTATGGCTCTTCCTGGTGACTCCAAGGGAAGGAGGAGACCCCTGAAGCTTTTGGGTTGTGCTGAGGGAGGCCTCATTGCCTCCACTTCCTTCCTCCATGGTCTCATGAGAATCCATGTGCTCAGCCTTGGTGCTTCTGGGCAGTCTCCTTCCTCTGCATTGAGCCAGCAAGATTAGGACTTTGTCCACAAGACGATGTGGCCTGGGTTTGCTTCAGCTGCGGCTCTTTTGAGGGCCCAGCATGTACCCCAGCATCCATTTAGCCCATACATAGGCCCTCATCTTAGGACAGGCTGGTGGGCTGTAGTTGTCTCCCTCCCAATTGGGGAGGAGTGTTATACTGAAGAGCTAGGAGGCTGACCAGGGGCAGGCGGGACCTGAGGGAGGGGGTCTGCACTTGAGCTCACTTAAGTCCTCACCATACCTGCTCAGGAGCGGACCCTGACCCCCATCCCGGTGTTGGAGGGGACAGCCACCATGGGCCACCTGTCTGCTCCTCTCCAAGGAAGATTCTTTCCCACTGGCTCTTGGGGCTCATGGAGGTCCTGTCAGTCCTGTTGGGACCATGGACTGTGCGCAGGGTCACTGGGGCCCACTGGGGGCTGTATAGCAGCAGCATGCCCCTCTTCCTGGGCCCCTGCAGCAGAAGGCAGCACACACCTAATCACTGCTTCATTTCCCAACAGACCCCTTGGGAAGGAGGCTTGTTTAAACTACGGATGCTCTTCAAAGATGACTATCCATCCTCACCTCCAAAATGTAAGTACAATGAAGTCCTCAAAGGTTGGCTTTGACGGTGCTTCAGCAGAGATCTGAGTCCTCTTCAGAGAGCCTCGCCTCCGGGCATGTTGGTTATTTCACACGCTGCTCCACACAGGGTGGCTCCAGCGTTCTGATTCCTACAGTTGACTGTGTTTCTAGCCCTGGGGTGGGAGGTGCACCCAACAGACCAAGTCTCACGTCTCAGCTCTACAACTGGGAAGCTCCTGGGCCCTAGAGGGAATGTTCATGAGATCCTGGTGAGGCTCCTTGAACCCTTAGTGCCTGTCAGGGATGAAGCTACCACATACCTGCCCCAGGTGGGGATGGACATGCAGAAGGACCACCATTCAGAACCTTACTGCTCAGAGGATTTTGTTTGCTGCGACCTGTCATCTGTTAGAATTTCACACCTAACTCCATGCCTGCATCTGCAGCCTGGATGGATAACACACAAGCCTCCAGAGAAGGCAGCAGGAAGAAAAGGCCGGTGCTGTGTTTAAAACAGTGCTACAGCTAGACCGTCACGATGCAGTTTAGCACAACTTGGGGAGGGAGGGCGCCAAAGCTCTCTCCCTTGGCAGCTGGGAATCAACAAACACTGTCCACAGCTGGTTAATTAAATGAGTTGACTTGCACCTCCATGTGTGGGAAAGTGCCCGGCGGGTGGGAGGGCAAGAATACATGTAACTGTTAACTTTTGTGGTTAGTGATTTAAAACATGGAAGGATGTTTCCCATTAAAATAGCATCTAGCAGAAGACTTACTTAAATTATCAATTCATAGCATAACCACTGGGATGGAGACTTATTTCCTTTGGTGTGGTTCTTTACTGTTTGAATTTTTGTGTGTGTGCCATGTGTAGGTATTACTTTAAATAAGTGAGATAAATCGTAGCTGCTTTTATCACTTCTATGCAACATTGTATTGGAATTCCAAGCAAATGCAGTAAGGCAGGAAAAAGAAATCCCAGCAGAGAATGGAAAAAGAAGACTTAGACCATAGAGCATCTTTGTCTAAGTCTGTTTATTAAGGTTGCTGAATAAAAGGTTAACATATAAAAGCGCACTGTCATACAGTTGCGAGAAATGAAAGTGTTTAAACTATACATTTTATAGTAGTATCAGGTACCTTGGAATAAACCCAACAAAAGATATTTAAGACCTGTATATTGAGAGTTGAAACCTTTCTGAGAGGATGAAGGGCAGCCTACATAACTGGCAAGGTGGGCCTTGTTTATGGACCAGAAGGCACAGTTACAAAGTTCTCTCCAAGTTGATCTACAAATTCAGCATAGTCCCAATCAAAATCCAAGCAGCTTTTTGTGGAAATTGTCATACCACAGGCTCTGAAATGTAGGAAATGCAGAGTGCTGAGAATTGCCATGGCCTTTGGGGTTCTAGAAGTGGAGGATAGTGAGGCCTGGATTGGGGCTCATTGAGGAAAAGTATCCAGACCTGCTAGCAGGATGGGCATGACACAAACCAGTTTGAGATCTGCTACAGAGACACATTAGAGATGCAGAGCAAAGAGTCCAGAAAGCACAGGTACAGTGGAGTGGTTTATGAGGTGACGCTGCAATGCATGGGGAGAGGATGGTGGTCTGATGCATGAACTGGGACAACTGACTGTCCCAGTGGACAAAGGGAGAACTCAGTCTCCCCCTATAGACCAAAGCCTTCCAGATGGATTGTGATGCCCAGTGGGAAGACGGGTGGGACAGTACCGCTTTTAGAGGAAGACAGGAGGGTGTCTTCATGACTTGGATAGGCAAAGCCTTCTTAACCAGGGAAGCATTAAGAGTGCTTTTCTGCCAGAGGGGGAAAAGGATCACTGGGACTATACTGAAATTAAGACCATCTCTTCACTAAAAGACACCACTGACAGTGAGAGGGGAAAAGATTATATCTATACATCAGTACTTATCCTGAATATATCAAGAGCATTTATAAATCAATAAGGAAATGGCAAAAAAAAAAAAAAAAGCCACTTGATGGAATGGGCCCTTGGCAAGAGGATCTCCACCTGGCCAATCACCATAGAGAGCTGCTTAACTTCCTTATCAGAGAATTACAAGTTACAACCACAGAGTGAACAGGCAGATAACTGAGGCGGGAGAGGTTGCAGAGCAGTGAGAGCCCTCAGATGCGACTAAAGAAAGTAACTTTTGAACATTTCTTGAAGAGCTGTCTGCCATGTCTACTGAAGCTAAACTTATCCCTACCCGAGGACCCAGCTGTTCCACTCAAGTAAATACTCAATAGAAATGCATACATGTGTTTACCAAAAGGCATGGACAATCATGTTTATAACAACCCCATTTGTAAAAGCCAAAAGCTGGAGACAACCCAAGTGTTGAATGGATAAATAAGTGCAGCAGCAGAAATGAAGGGCCTACGAGTACACAGCATGAATGACTCTCCCACACATGCTGAGTGGGTGGAGCCAGACACAGGAGTTTATGAAGGTCAACAACAGGCCATGCGATGAACGGTGTGAGAAGTCAGGAGGGTGACTTCATATGGAAGAAAGACAGAGACTGGAAAGGGGTGCTGGGGGGCTTGGAGATACTAATATTCATCATTGATACACTTTTCTAGCTAAGAAGTCAGATTAAATTAAAATTAGGAACTTGTGTTCACCAAATGTACAATTAAAAGAGCAGAAAGGCAAATGCAGAGTAGAGGATATTTGCAAGACGTGTAATTGACAAAAGGCTTGTGTCCAGCATATGTAAAGAGCTCCTACAAATCAATAAGAGGCAACCCAATAGAAAAGTATGCAAGAGACGAATAAGAACTCCAAAGAAGTAGCCAGTTCATCCCAGTAAATGAAAGGTGCTTACTCTCAGAGATCATCAGGAAAATGCAACTTAGAGCCATGAGAGGCAACCACGATTCATTTAACAATGGCTGAAGTTCACTACTGACACACCAGGTATTGGTAAGACTGAAGCAGTGAGATGTAAGTGGGCACAGCCACTTTGAAAACTGGCAACATCCATGTTCAACACAGATACCCTGTGATCCAGCATTTCCATACGGAAGTGCACATGTGTGCACCAGAATTCACATCCAGGAGCAATCACAGCTTTATTTGTATTCACTCAAAAGTACACCTGCTTGTGGTGGGCAAGTCATGGGGTGGCTAGTCTCCCAGTGGATGCTGTGCAGCAACAGGAATGAGTAACTGCCACTGACCTGTGAGTGTAGAGTGGGGAGATCCGGTTCGAGACATCCTCCCTGGGGACTGCAGGTTGGTTTAGTGGCGCAAATGGAATGGGTAGTGTATAAAGGAGTTTTCTGAGAAGCTGTTGATGTTAGTGGATGTTTTTTCAAACTTGACATGTATTTTTTCAAAAGAAAATAAATTTTTTTTTTTAAGGAAAAATATTGGATCCTAAAAGCCTGTTTTTAAAGCAAAATGAGCTGCTTTGAAAATGGCCCCTCATTTGGAAGGACCTTGGCTGCTTCACCATACCCTCTTCACCTGCTGCAGCAGCCCCTTCCCACCTTCCCTAGGCCAGGCTGGCTGGGAAGACTGCCTGGGGCTTTGCTCTGACTGTCCTGTGGAGGGACGTGGCTCTGCCTCTGAGTCCATCAGGAAAGCACACTTGCTCCTCTCCTACCTCTTCCCCACCTCCTCCCGCCTTGTGGCCAGTTTTGTTTTTGTAAACAGTTCTTTGGGAAATGTCTGATAACCAGTAAGGTGTCCTGGTGCAGGGAAGATGAGGATGTCATCAGGACAGGACATTATTCTGTAGGACAACTGCCACCAAAACACATTTCCTTTCTTCCACATGATCTAGGCAAATTTGAACCACCATTATTTCACCCGAACGTGTACCCTTCAGGCACTGTGTGCCTGTCCATCCTCGAGGAAGACAAGGACTGGAGGCCAGCCATCACGATTAAGCAGGTATGCAGTGTGAGGGCCTCACCTCAACCTTCCTTCAGGGCCGGTTTGCCATTTGAACTGCTGACCTCCCACCTTGCTTTGTTTTTCTCTCTTACACAGATCTTATTAGGAATACAGGAACTTCTAAATGAACCAAATATCCAAGATCCAGCTCAAGCAGAGGCCTACACAATTTACTGGTTAGTAGCTATCTGGCCCTACTTGCCTTGACCTCTCTCAGCTTGCACAGCCTTCCCCAGTCTAGGCTGCCTGTAGGAAGGAGCAGTAGGCAGGCTGTGGGTGGGTGGATAGTCCTGACCCTCCCAGCAGCCTGGGAGGGTGGCTGAGACACAAGCTCATGTGGCAGCTGGCACCTGTGCCACAAAGGGGGACTGTGAGGTGGCCAGGGAGGCATCTGAGGAGCTACATGTGCAAAGGGCCTATGGTGGCAAGAATGGGCAGCCAGGGCTGGCGTGGCCAGAGCGATGTTGGTGGGGGTTGGCAGGAGGCTGGCAGATGACATGGGCTCCTGTTGACCTAACTGCCCCTGATGGGCTATCGCCAGGCAAACCCAGTGCCTCCAGGAGCCCTGTTCAGCTCAGAGGGAAGGGTGTGGACACTGGAGGAAGAGGCGACAGACCTCCCGCCTCTGCTCTCCTTTGGCCCACCCTGGGTATGGCAACTCTGAGGGGTATGGTCCACTAGGGGAGTGGCGCTCCTGACTTGCTCTTGGTCACCTGGGTGCTGTGGGAAGAGGGCCTGGTGTGACTTAGTGTGAGCAATGGAGCTAAACCTAGCACATGGGGTTGGCTGGTTGGACAGTGGGGAGGACCCTGGCCTTCCTGGCCAGCCTCCCAGGCTGGTCTGGGCAGGGAGTTATGCCGGGTTGGCGGCTCTGACCCCTATTGCTCCACTTACCCATGTTCAGAAACCTGGGGCCCAAAGGGCTGACCCACAGAGAGAGGTTGGGTAGGGGCTTGTTCCTTTCAAGGGGGGGGTTATCTGGAATTGCAACAGGTTGGAGGGTAGATCGCTCTAAACAGCTGAGGTGGCCTGAGTTCATCTGAAGAGAAGCACCAGGTTGCAAGAGATGCATTTCTCCCCCCAAAAATGGCTTCAAGTTCTTGGGTCCAACCCAGTTTGGGGGCTGGGGTGCCCCCTGGTGGCCGAGAGTGACAAGATGCTCCTGGGCAGCGACTGAGGCTCTCCTCCTCCAGGCCAAGGAATTGCTGTGATTCCCGCAAAGCTTACCTTGAATTTACCTGTTTCTTATTGGCTGCTGTGCATCAGCAGCTCCGGGAGATGAGTTCTCATACCTTGACCCTTGAACTGGGTGCTGTATAATATTCACTGCAACATCTGCCTGCATCAGGCCTGTCAGGCCCTTTGTAAATAGGGCCACTTGCTGTCTGAGCTGAGCCATTGTGATAGACCACATGGCCCACAGAGCCAAAATGTCTTCTTGCGGGCCTTTAGAGAGAGTTTGCCAGTCCTGGAGTGTGTTGCAGAATGGGTATTACTCCTGGGTGAGTTGTCCGTGTATCTTGATGGCTTGCGTATGGCCTACAGCCCCGTCTGCTGTGGCACTCACTAGTTAGTTGCAGTATTGTGGCATTCGCAGCAGGGCTTCAGAGGGTTACTGCTGTGTGCCATTGGGTGCTCCCAGTTGTGTGCCTACTCAGGACTGGAGCATCTTTTCTGCACTATGGGCTCCTTTCGTGCCAGATGGCATCATACACTACTTCACAGGAATGAGATACTGTTTCTCCGTAAGCATCCAGTTTAAAAGCACCTTTTATGAAACATGCTTGATCTGTTTTTTCAGATATCTCATGTTTTCAGAAGGTCATAGGGCGTGTCCTACACTGGCAGGTGCCCCAGTGCTCTAGGGGAGACACCCTGTGCCCAGCCTCACTTGGTAAATGGCAGGGCTGGACTGGGTTGCTTCTGTTATTGCTTCCAGCTCCTTCCAGGGCCCTCCTAGTTAGCTGCCTCCACCTGGGAGTCTGGGCCCTTGGCCAGGGTGGGAGCATGGCCTGGCAGTAGAAGCTTGTCCTCTGGCCTTCACTCTTGGCTCTCAGCCAGGCGTGGTGCTGACTGGCCTCCTGGGATTGGTGTGCGCCTGGGCACCATGCCAGCTCAGTGCAGGCTCCAGGCAAGTTTCCGCCTCTCCGGGTGCTGGCATTGCAGTCTTTCCCCAGAGAGGCTAGAAAGGAGGACCCAGGGCACCAGGGCCTGTTGTCTGCACTAGGCAGAGCTGAGGGAAATTCTTTTGGTGGCCCCTCTGTGCCTCAACCCTTGGGCCTGCTCATGGGCTGGGACCAGTGCTCTGAAAGGCACACTTCTTGAGAGCACAGGCTGGAAGGACCCCTGGCTTTCTTATCCAGGGTATGAGTGCCCTGAGTACACACACTGAGCCTGAGCTCTGAGGAGGGTTCATGACCAGCCCCTGAGGTGTTTGACGAGACCTTTGACCTGGTTGTGAAGGAGCCCTGTTCATAAACATCATGTACCCATGGGCCTTGAGGTCACATTGATCCCTGGTAGCGGCTGGTCTCCTCTGATGGCGAGTTTGCTGCCCTCGCACCCCACCCTCTCATACTGGAGTCCCCGCTGAGGTCCTTCCCCGACCACTAGAGAGCTGCCTCCACACCTTCACACTCGGGGCTGAGAGTCCCATGGGAAAACCCGCCAGATGTCTTTGAAGACCAGATGAGCAAACAGAAGAGAGAAACTGCTGGTCACTGGTGAGACTTATGAACTCCCAGCCCAGGCTATTCTAACCTGTCTGTCTCTCTTGACCTCCTCAGCCAAAACAGAGTGGAATATGAGAAAAGGGTTCGAGCACAAGCCAAGAAGTTTGCACCCTCATAAGCAGCGACCTGCGGCAACATCAAAAGGAAAGGATTGGTTTGGCAAGAACTTGTTTACAACATTTGCAGATCTAGCGTTGCTCTATACAATTACTAGTCACCTAGGGGAGGTGGGCGGGCGCCATTTTCCATTTCCGCCACTGGTACACAGTTCTCCACTTGCTGAATTGCCCAGTTTTTCATACAGGGTCTCTTCCTTCAGTCTTTTGTATTTTTGATTGTTATGTAAAACTTGCTTTTATTTTAATATTGATGTCAGTATTTCAACTGCTGTAAAATTATAAACTTTTATACTTCTATGAGTCCCTGAGGAGCTAGTTCCCTTTGCTCGCGGGTGCAGGCATGCTTCCCACTGTCCGAGCCACACGTAGCCTCCAGCTGGCTGTATGAAAAAGAAATCAGCCTGTCCCCTGCCCTCGCGCCTCTGTCCTTCGCTCTGCAGAACCCGGGTTGTGTTGCTATGAGCCTCAGATCCAAAGTCAGCCAGCCTCTTGTTTCCGCATCACTTCCTTTGTGTTTATATGGCGTTTTGTCTGTGTTGCTGTTTAGAGTAAATAAACTGTTTATATAAAGGTTTTTGTTGCATTATTGTCATTAAAAGTATGAGGAGGCAGCCTCGGGGTGTCTCCCCACCCCCTTCTGCAGCTGCAGGCCCCACAGAGCACAGGCCTCGGCCCCAGCAGGTCTCGCTGCCTATGCCTGGGTCCTACATGGCACTTGTCCTGGTCCTTTGTAAATAGTGGTATGTACAGAAATGGTGTGTGTCCAGGGTTTCTGTCTATCCCACCTGGGTCTTTGGGCTGTAGAGCACTAGAGTTCAGATCTGGTCAAGTTGGAACTGGTGTCAAGACCCTTCTAAAGGGCACACTGCCTGAGCCATCAGGAGGAGAAGCCTAAACCCAGGCCAGGGTGGCTGAGCCATGGCATGTAGCCACCTCACATCTGGCACTGCCCTTGGGCCTTTGCATGTAGCATCCTGGCCTTCCCCCGCTCACCGCATTAGCCCCCACCCCTGGGTACAGGTAGTCTCAGGCACTGGGACACCCCTATAGAGCAGCTCTGAGGGCCACTGTCGCATGTTCTTTGTCTTCTGAAGCGTTCTGAACCTGGTTGCCCAAGGAGGCCACTCTCAGAAAGAACCCTGGAACCTGAGGCCACAACAGTTTCCAGGAGTTGGCTGCTGGTTCTATCAGAAGCAATCCTGGGCCCTGGCTCTGCGGGAAGGTGCCATAGATGGAGACAGGAAGTGACAGAAGGGGACCTGGCCTCTGGGTCCCAGTGAACACAGAGCTGACCAGTACAGAGGTCCAGGGCTGGCCCTGTATCAGCCGGCCTTGCCATTGCCCTCCCACCCCAAGGACCCTTGTCAGAACCAGGTTGCCTGTGGCTCTGGCATGTAGACTGACGTGGAGATGGTCCCCAAAGGGGTGAGAAACACAAGAAGGGCTGGTGATCCAGGCCCTTGGCCAGGAAGGGGTGCCTCTGTTCACCCCAAGAAATGTGGCCCCCTCAGCCGACAGCATGGCCCGAGGGCCCAGTGCCTTGTTCACTTGCTTAGCTGGACATCTGTTGGGTTGCTGAGCTCTGAGCTCTCAGTTTGATGTTCATGGTTATTCCTAATGCAGAGGGCCTTATGCGGGGGGTTCAGTGGGTCGTGTGTGTGTATAGCCCCTCCCAGAATGTCTTATTTTGTAATGACTGAACTACACTTAGTAATAGTTACACATGTATATGGTTAATATATATGGAAATGCAATATATTTTCTAGTTAAAGCATTCTAAAGTAATCGATGTTTCTAGCACATTGTCGTGACTTTGGCTAATGAAATGTCCTTTTGTGCCACAGTTCTTGGCTTAACAAAGATGTGAATCTTGTAACAGGAGAACTATGAAATGTGATCATTCTGTTTCTACTGTAAGGGAAGAGAGTGTGTTCCTAGCATGAGGCGCCTAATTAGTGAGGAATTGTGGGCAATAGATTAACCACTGTATCTAAGAATCCTCTAATTAAAACATTTCCACAAACTGCTGCCTGCAGGGTGTGTCCTTTTCCTGCCTCACTCCCACACAGGCCACCCCCTGCTCACTGTTGCTGTGCCCAGGGAGATCAGGTCTCCTCTCCATGGCCTCTAGTATTAGACCCTCAGTGGCCGGGAGGAGGGGTCCCCTGGTGCTGTGGTCAGATCTCCCCTTCTGTTCCCTCTGAGACCCTTTCATGGGCAGGCAAGGCTGGCACACATCCTGTGCTGGCCACTGGCCTTGCCCTGCGTCTTGGCCTGCTGGAGCAGGGCCTCCCCACTGGGGACCGGGGGCTGCTCTTGTCACCTAGATAGACCTCAGGGAGCAGGACCGCATCCTCACAGCCAAGGTGCAGACAAGCCCTGATGGGGCCCTTGGGATGGTGTGTCCAGGGTTGACGGGGGCTTGGTCTGGCGATTACATGGGTGCAGAGCAAGGAGCCTGACCACAGGTGGTATGGGTTAGTTAGCCCTCAACCTCCACCTCCCCAGGAGTGACTGCTCAGAGGCTCAGGTCATCTGGCCGGATTGTGGATCCCCTGGCCTCCCTGGACTGACACGGCTGGGCCAGCGCTATGTCCTCACACCTGTCTGCCCACATAGGCCACCTCCCTGACCTGCTAGCCCAAGGCCTTCCTACATCAGATTGTGCCATGAACAGCCTCCAGTTTGAGGTGGTGACAACTTGGCAGGTTGGAGGCCCAGCGTTGACTTGGGCTGGCTTAAACAGGTCTGAGACAGCTTCAGCTGGGGGGCCTGAGGAACACCTGTGCAGTATGTGCCCTGGCCACCCCACAGCTGAGTCTGGGGGTGTCCTGCTGCAGGGGCCTAGGAGATTCACAGAGGCTTCCAGGTGCTGATCCCATCTTCGGAGGCTGTGGGCCCCACGGGGCTGGAGCACCAGGGTCCCATCCATCCTGCTGCCCCCAGACCCCACAACTGGCTTCAGCAGTTTGGCCCAGTCTCTGGCAGCCATTAAAAGGCCATTTTTCCCTGATCTAGAAGAAAACAACAAGGAAGCAGCAAAGTTACAGAGCACAGGCCTGGGTTCCTACCTCCTGGCCTCTGCCCTTCTGGTGGCCCACCCACCCCTC